ATAAAGCGGCTAAATCTTTTAAAGATGCATATTGTTTGGCAAACTACTACAAGAAAATGAATGATAAAGTTTTAGCATCTTCGAAACATTGGTGAATTATTGTACCGAAGAGATAATGTGGTTCTGAAGATTAAAAAACGGTTATTGTTAGGCCTTTTCCATCGCAACGTTTATGGAAGTTTTCGCGGTTAAATCCATGGCGTGTAGCTTTGTAAATCAAATCCCATCTCTGATTTTTTTTCCGTAAAATTCATTTAGTTTTAATTGATATTGTTCGTGGTTCAGTAGTGTCCCACCTATAAATAGCTGTTGATCATTGTTCGATACTAAGTGATAAACAGAGAAGTGTTAAGCAGTGAATCGCATTTTGTAACGTAATCATGAGATGTCGATTGACAATTTAAAATTTTATCCGGCTAATCGGCTTTTTAATAATAAAGATATTGAACAAATCAAACGTTATGATAAACATAAAATAGCTCGAAATATAATCTGAAACATAATGATTGATATAAACACGGACAAATTTTATAAAGTGAAGGATATTGGTAATATTTTGAATAAAGTAACATCGAATAATACAATCGCACAAGTTCAAACACTGAAATGAAAGAGGCTGATCCAACAGCAACAATCAAAGTTATCGTACAAGAAAATCATGGGTTGAATATGATATTCACCTACAAAATTAATATTGACAAATATGAATAACTTGTTTTCTTCGATGCCACGTACAAAATAAATCTTGAAAACTATTTGTTGTATGTTTTTTTGGTACAAGATCATCTCGGTATAGGTCCGTAAATAAAGTTACTTAAAGATGCGCTTTAAGATGAAATCTGAGAAATAAATGTGTACCTGTTGAAATAATGCTTGTCACGAATGACAGACTTTTCACGTTGACCTGGAAGCTCCGTGATCTGTTACATTTGTTCTTCTAAGTTTCTAATATGGCTATGTGTATGCGCACTATTTCTCTCGCTTACAGTTTGATCGATCTATCAGATTATTTTTTCATCATATATTTCACAAGTTTTATTTGTCTTGCTATTTTTGCTTTAGGTCTGCTATCATCTCTAACATTGCTATCAAATGAAAGTCAAGGCAATATTCATAGTTTATAAGAATTATTTAAAGCTACCCTAGTGAAGCTTTTTTTCTCAAGCACATGAGCAAGCACATACCTCAAGATTTGTCTCCCTGCACATGAATTTCTTACTCATGCAAAACGCTTGAGGTATGTGCTTGACTTTCTTGTCTCATGCGCTTGAGTTGCTTGAAGTATGCGCATGAGGGGAGAAATATCTAAAACAATGTGCATACCTCAAGAAACTCAAGCGCATGAGATATTCAAGCGCTTGAGGTAAGAATCTCATGCGCATGAGTTTCTTGAGATACGAAACTCAAGCACATGAGTCAAGAAAGTCAAGCGCATGACATCGGAAAAAATGCGTTTTGCATGAGTAAGAAATGTCTCCACGCCATGAGATTCTTACTCAAGAAATTCAAGAAAGTCATGTGCTTGAGAAAAAAAGCTTCACTAGGGTACATATCAAAAATCAAATCAAATCGAAACATTTTTTGTTGACAAAGATTTTGATGAAATTCCAATGATTGAACAAGTGTTTCCTAATTCAAGAATTTTACTCTGTTAATTCCATGTGTTAAAACAGTGGAAAGAAACCGCTGCGAAATTACCTATCGAAATTGAAAAAACACGTGAAATATTAAATAGGTAAAACGTGTCATGTATACGAATCCCTTCCCTTCATGAAAAAAATGTCAGAAACTTTTTTTGACTAATAATATCATATGCGGCACGAATTCACTCCGTACACTGGAAGAAAAACAATTCGACTGCTCAATCCTTGTACCCAAAATGGTAACTTTGAAGTCAAAGATCTCGAGATCGAGATCATCTCTTATTTGTGAATATTATTACAAGCTCTAACTTTCTTTCGTTTTAATTAAATAATCTCTAAAGGTAGCTAAAATCCCTACTGGGACTTTCAGTGTGCCATCTATCCTATAAAAACAAAACTATATGACGAACCCATAGTTACATTATTTTGTAGTGGATACTATCTATCCATGTGAAAATTTAGATGCCATCCACGATGTGAACGCGGGTTGAAAATTTTTCCCACGTATGTAGTACACCCAGCACGTGTATGTAGTGCCACGGCAAAATAGACTTGTTTTTGAGTTCTACGGGCGAGCACGTGTAGAAGATAATTTTATGTACGCGAATAGATGTGGACAGGAAAAGATTCTACATGGTCACATGTGATACACCATAAAGTGGTCCGATCGAGCACAAATTTTTACCACAGATACTTCAGACCCTATCTCAGGATGCATTTTTTTTCCCGAAAAATATGCTTTCCTTCTCGAGACATACAAAAAATGCTGAAAATCATGCAAAAAGCCGCGCATTCTGTCAGTTATTTGCATCGTCACAACGCGTGACACAAAACTTTCTGTTTGTATTGCCTAGTGAAACTTTTAAGTAAAGCCTCTTTCTAGCGTTACCATGCGTGGAAACAATTCTCTAAGCAAGAACACGATGCAGATGGATTCAATGCTTGCGTGTTTACCCTTATGAAAAATGTTTTCATAGCATGTCAACAATCAAACTCTTCCTTTTTAGTAGTGAAACTGTGGATACAATTCATACAACATCCCTACAACTAGATGTACATTGCAAAAAAATATGAACGATTTACTCCCAAATTTGGGAAAAGGTAAGAACGATTTACTCTCATTTCGGAGAGTGATTTACTCCAATTTTGAACAAAATCAAGAACGGTTTACTCGTAATTTGAGGAAAGATAAGAACGATTTACTCCGAATTTCGGAGAAACTTGAGGGATGATTTACTCCGATTTGGGCTTTTTCGAATACTAAAGTGCTGCTTTCTCCGAAAACCGATATTAAATGTGTTCTTTGAAGAAGCTTTCTTAATCGACTTAGATGGCTTATTTCTATTTTTTTCCGCCTACGTCTGAGAAAATTACAGCGAATATAACGTTTAGGCAAACTTAATGAGTGATGCTCATCAATTATTTATCCTTCACCATGAGCTCGGAGAGTCAGGGGCTTATTTTTGGAGACCTTACTCCCATTTTTGGATTTACCCTCCCGTGCTCCCAACCTCTTCGTGCCGCCACTGCGCGTGGTAAATCTACCTAGTACACGTGAAAACACTATTTCATGCATGTTGACTAAGGATAGAAAGAAAACTAAAAAAGTACATGACTCACAAAACTATTCAGACAAACTATAGCCCGGAGTATAGTATCCAACAGAGAATCACTGCAGCTTTCCTGAATGTAGTAAACGTACTAATAGAGAGAATAAAAAATATAATTTATGACTGTGGCCTTCACATTCGAAAAACTCGATCGTAACACACTTTTTTACGGTGCAAATACCGAACTTTTTTGTATATTTTTAGTGCTTTGTGTATTATGAATCGGTTGAGAAGGAATGAAAGAAAGATTCATTATTCTCCCAGCAAACGAGAGACTTCATGCATTTATCGCTTGAAAGCACGAATAGAAAAAAAATGGTGCAACTGCGTAAAATTTGCAAATATAAGTGGTTACAACTGGGAAATATTTCTGTTGCTCGTTGACACGAATAAGAAAACTGTTCCACGAATGTTCACACATTCTAGCTTTAGGGCAACGCGTTTACATACGAAGGAAGATAACTTAATTCCGTGTCCAGGATCAGCAAATAATTTTTCAACTGTAGTGAGTGAACATGCATGAAATTCGATGAGTCATGTGCAAGAAAACAGAAAAAATTTCCACAAAATCAAGGATGAATTCTCTCATCTTTCTCCTGTAATCAATGTTGTAAAGCTCAAGGAGCTTCATAATAAACGGTGAACGATTAGATGCGTCCCTTCGCTTAGACACATGGTTATAAAAAGATTCCTGTTTGAAAAAACCGGAATTTCTGCAATCATTAATGATGTCGTGCGCACTTCCTCTAGCAAACCTCATACCAAATTCAGAAACATTTCTGTGTCTTTCGCGTTCTGGAGTCTTTGAAGACTTCTGAAAGTTGACAGTCTATGAGCTAGTGCTCTTGAAAACCACTGGATTATTGTAGATCACACGGATACCTTCGAGTGCCTCGCCATGTTCACATCATGTGCCACGCGTGTTCACATCATGGAGAATATTAAAATTTCCACATGGGTGGTATATCTATGATAAAATTTTCAAGTCTCCACTATATGTCGTTACTAAGTTATACGAGGTCATAGTTGCGCATTTTTTCACCTGTTGCAAATCATGTGGTTTTCTTCAAAGTTCATTGAGGGATTTGCTTCACAATAATCTTTTATGCAGAAAAAAATGTAAGACAAACAGTTCAGTATTATTCTGTGATGATAGAGCATGGCCTGGGCGAAGTAGCTCTTAAATATAGTTATCTATTATTAATGCTGAATTGCTTTACTACTTGTATATCTAAGCATTCGCGATAGTAAATCTGAAAAGTTACAAAATTCTACTTATCAAATATATCATATAGTACAACTGAGTTATTCATTAATACTTGCGAAACAATATTTTGACAGAGCTACAGTATTAGATTCTTGTATTCAGCGTTATGATTTACTCAATGAATAATCATGTTATTACATAAATCATATCACAGTTGATCAAAAACAACAATGAAACTATAAATCCAACAATGAAACATAAAACTAGGAGCTTTTGTTTTCTATTGACTCGTCAAAACCAAGGAGAAAAACACTTGTTTTGTGATAGTATGCACTGCGCGCATGTATTAAGATAAATAAATCTAGATCAGGAGCGGATTATTATTCATTTTACTGAGAAAATTTAGTTTAAATAATTATCCAGTATATTTGTACGACATAAATTACTATAGCTCTAATCGCTCGCTTAGACGAGCAATTTCAATTGTAAATTTGCAAACTGTTTCCAATGATATTATACAGTTGTCTCATTTTAATCTTAATGTTGCATTTTAATGATGCTTTTAATCCACCATTCACGCCAACAAATGGCACAACTCATCATGAAATGACAGAGTGTGCTCTTTACACTGTGACAATCGATTACCTAAAAAAGGTGTATAAGATAAACATTAAAAGTCTAGCAATCACAACTGGCGAGTGTCCTGCAAAACTTGAAAATTTGCTGAAACAAGGATTTAAAAAAAACTCCTTTGATTGGCTTCGATATACGTATACAGTCAATATTATTGCAACTAAAAATGCCCTAATTGATGCGGAAGAGCAGCTGAATGCACCAAGTCATTTTGATAGTGAATCATTCCCCGGGGGCTCTAAATTAATCATTGATCGTTACCAGCTGGCACTTAATGCAATTAAAAGCAAAAAATTTGATGATGCCAATGACTTTTTCGGAAAGACATTACACACTCTCCAAGGTAAAACGGTTTTTCTAAATTCTCAACTTCATACTTCCTTATTTTTTTTTCTTATTGAATCAGATTTCTATAGTCATTCAAACTGGATCGAGCTTGGTAATAGAATTCCAAATTCACAATTGGGTCTTTCAAAAATAACAAAGGGATTTGCCGCTAGCACACAACGAACTTGTACAAATTGTACTTCAACTACAGACGTGTGTCGCAACAATGTAGCCTCAAAGATTTTGTCTAAAAAGTTATTAACGAGCGGATATTTTCACATTACTCCGAAAACAAAACCTAACAAGCCCACAGGAAAATGCAGTCATGGTGGTATTCTAGATAGTACAAAACGGTTCGATGCTGTAGGTGGAATCAATAAAGATACGCTGTCATCTATTCACGGTTATCTACACAAGCCTGCAGCCCAAACAGCTTATTTAGCTACATATAAAATATTGAAACAGTTATGGAACGATACTAATGACCAAGCATTTGGAAATTTTCTCGGAATCAGCAAATCAATATTTGCTAGTAAAGCATTATTAACTTCAGATGCTTACGCTTTTATTCTGAAAATACAAGACTCGCATNTAGGTGGAATCAATAAAGATACGCTGTCATCTATTCACGGTTATCTACACAAGCCTGCAGCCCAAACAGCTTATTTAGCTACATATAAAATATTGAAACAGTTATGGAACGATACTAATGACCAAGCATTTGGAAATTTTCTCGGAATCAGCAAATCAATATTTGCTAGTAAAGCATTATTAACTTCAGATGCTTACGCTTTTATTCTGAAAATACAAGACTCGCATGTGTACACAGCCATACTTGAAAAACTTGAAAATACTACGACTAAATTTTCAACGATTGATGTTATTGTTTCCTATCCGGCTGTTGACAAGTATTATAAAACACATTGTTTATCTATTGCAACGGAAAAGCATGTTCGAATCAATATTTATCGTAATTCAACAGTGCTTAATTCAACAGATGACGAAGATTATGGTTACGATTTGTGTCGTCTGACAGGCGGTACTTATATTCGTTATTTTAATGCAACATTGATGCCTCTGAACATCCTCAGTCAATTATCTAATACCCAAACAATCGATCATGTATCATTACAAATAAAAAGTAAAAAATTGGCAGTTAATATTGATCAATCCTGCCCGAAATTATTTATTGAATTCAGTACAAATAACATAACAGTAGAAGCATTTCCAATTCAATTGCAAACACGAGATAACACGTTAATACCAATGATATTAGTTAATACGTCATTTTTTAAAGTGTATACATTGGTTAACATTCCATCATTTGGTCGATGGAATATTATTTTTCCCAACACTGGCAACAATAATATTCGCTTTGACGTACGTTTATCATGTGCGAGTGAATTAATATGTTGGTCACAATTGTTTACGGACAATAGAAATAATGTTCATCCAGGCGGTGTTGAATTACATGGCAATGCGATACAAGGACACAAGGCAAATATCGTTACGCAATGCTTTAATAACGATGATCGAATTAATACTTTGAAAGTGATGTTGGTGAACGAAACAGGACATCCCCTACACGTTGTAGCTAAAACTACACAACAAAATGATGCTAAATGGTTAACAAAACTCACCATTCCATCAGCACAATCGTTTCGAATCAAAATCACAGCTAACAATAAGAAAATTCAGCGTATCAGTGATAAACTATACGAGACAAGTCAGATTGATGTATCATTTAATCTGACTAATGTACAACCTTTTCTGTATTATTATGAACATACGTCGATCTCATTCACCTTGAAAAACTATGCAAAGCAACCGATAACATTGACTCTGTTAGCAAAAGACACTAATAATTATTTTGAGCAAAAACAATACACAATAGCAGCCGGTCAAACGAAGGACGACAAAATCTGGTTATATCCATTACCAATGAATAATAGCTCTACTGATGTTCCTGATATACAAAAAGATCTGGTCGCACTGACTGTCACTTCAACAGCAGGGGGCAATTACGACGTGCTAGATTATCCATTCAGAACTGCGATCAAGTGATAGATGTGTCTTTTTTCGTTTGTTGATCATTAGAATGTTTGAAAGTACGGGAGCTAAAATATATAGTAGAATCGGTCCCCTCGAAACTCTAATGTGAAATGATAGCCCTATCATTCCTGTATAGTTTCTACTATTTTTTAATTGAAAAATAGTTTACTGATAGAAAGTAGTCATTTTTCATTTTGTGGAACTCCCTCACTATCTTCGAAGAAGAGGCAGTAACACTTTTATACCCAAAACCCGCTGTTTTTATGGTAAATTTGACCCCCTCCGCCCCCCTGCTTACACGCTCTTCAACAGTACTCTTACGAGATCTTAAAATGGCCTTTACACAATCTAAAAAAGACTTTACGCATCTGACGAGGGAAGTACCCCAACTGATAAATCGCTTTTTGAACGGAACCTAGTGGACTATAGGTAGTCGACGATGCTGATTCTGAATATCACCATGACTGCTGCTGCTAGACCTTCAAAGGCCGGTTTTCTGGCAAACCAGTTTTCGAGAAACTCTAAAGAACAACCAAAAGCTTTCTTAATGAGGCGTAATTATAGTCCATAAATTTCTGATTACAATGAGGTATCTCCCAGCTCTGCACGACCTTTCTTTGCAAAGTTATACAATCTACAAGAGAAGCCCTAAATGTTCATTGTCACCTCGGAGCTACGGAAAGAAAAAGGAAAAAGGAATTTAGGGCTTTTCTTGTAAATTCTATAACTTTGCAAAGAAAGGTCATGTAGAGCTGGGAGATACCTCGTTGTAATCAGAAATTTATGGACTATAATTACGCCTCATTAAGAAAGCTTTTGGTTGTTCTTTAGAGTTTCTCGAAAACTGGTTTGCCAGAAAACCGGCCTTTGAAGGCCTAGCAGCAGCAGTCATGGTGATATTCAGAATCAGCATCGTCGACTACCTATAGTCCACTAGGTTCCGTTCAAAAAGCGATTTATCAGTTGGGGTACTTCCCTGTTTAGAACGATTAGGTGAAGAATTCATATACAAAGAGATAAAAACAATTTAGAATGTCCAAAATTAAAAATATAAAAGAACCAGTAAAAAGTAACTGTTTCTACGAAAAGTGTAAAACGAAAATAAGTACAGCATTAACAACAATATAAAAAGACTAATTATGAATCCATAAATCGAAAAACCAAGCTTTAATTTCGATGACTTCGTCATATTAAAAAATATCTTAAAATCAGGTTTTTTAGGTATAAAAACTCCATCTTCTTTGAAGATACTGAGAAAAGGCCAAAAATATAAGTTTCTGTCGATAAACTGTAGCACACGGGCAAAACATAAAAAGTCTGTGTTGCTAAGGCTGGTGAATACCAAAAGTCTTTATAAAACTTTTCACTTTTAATGATATTCATTTTATTTCTAACAATTTAACCTATTTTTTTATGATATATCATGGGTAAGAAACATACGAAGACTAAACAAGTTTTAATAGGGTTTGGTCCTTCTTTAAGATAAATACACCACCCTGCTAAGAACAATATTTAAGAAAATTTATCTTAAAAATAGCGGGTTTGAGTATAAGACTGTTACTCCCTCTTCGAGGAATAAATAAATTCCAAATATAAATGTTTGGTTGGAAATAAAAAAATTCATCCATGTTCTGTAACTTTCATTAGTATATTAAACTTTTACTTCAGTTTAGAGCCCTTTTTTTGTTTTTAAGACTAGACGTCTCAGTAATGGGAGTTCCACCTTTTAGTAACTTCAGGTGCTACCCTGCCAAGATTTTTTCGTAGCCTGAAAAGTTTCTGTCACAAACAGTTCTTGGAGCCGATAGCGCTCGAAAAGCTCTACACGACTGTGTTGACAAAAAGATCAAAAAAACTTGCGGATATGTCAAAACTTTTAAAAAATAGGAAAAGCGAACAACAGCAGTAGTATTCTGCCATTTTCACCACCACAATTGACATATTCTGAATCAACACCAAAAGCTGAGCCGAACCGCGTACCTCGAATTTTTTATATTCTCTCAAAGATGAACGTTATTCACGCATGTCGTTCGACTTAGCTTTTAACGCTGATTCTGAATTTCGAGGGGACCGATTTCATTATATGCTAGTTCTCATACTTTGAATAAGAAATGAGAAATATGAAAAAGCTTGATAGTTGAAAGTACTTGATCAACACTTGTTCGATAGCATAAATGTACGGTTTTAATCAGGAAATTGAATTCAATAATCCATTATCCAAATCCAATTCTTTCTACACAGTCATTTCAATCTTTTTCTTTTCAATAGAAGTGTCAAACGATCATCATTTCATGACACGTTGATAAAAAATAACAGGTGTCATGCAATCGCTGAGGTACAGAGAGAATTTGCAGGTTTATGGCTTTTTTGACTAAAACAGAGCTGAACTAAATCACCCACGATATAAACACCTTTACTAGAGCATCATAAGTGAAACCATACAAAACGATGCTCGTTCTCTGTTCGAACGATTACCAGCGACCGTCGTTTCATTCCGAACTATTTGAATTCTTTATAACTATGTTCTTGCTTTGTTTTGCTTCGAACTCTAAGTAGGCTTGCTTTACGGGTATGGAACATTTTGATACATGTTAAAAGAGATCAATTTTGTTAATTACGTATGAATTTCAATATGTTTTTATTCAATTTCTTTTTCTCTCTGTAATCAACATATGGGTTATATTCTGTAATTTTTCACAAGTACAATCCGTGAAAATAAAGCAACTGTACAAACGAAAATGAGTTGATTCTTGTTTTCTGTCTTTACAATATACACAACACAAAACGAACAAAAGTAGAAAGGAAATACGTAAAAAACAGAAAACAACAATAATTATGTGACTTTCTACCCTTGGAAAAGAAGCAAAACCAAGAGCAGACAGCGATCAGAAACACATAATACAGCTTTTACACA